CCTACGGGATTGAACCGGAGCCCTTTGGGTGGGTGGGACAATGCTCAAACCAACAGCCCCAATAGCCAGGGCAGTGTCAAGCTCTTTAACCTCAGAGTAGCATGTACTATTCCTACTTTTTGAAACATTCCTCTTTTTTCTCCTAATCTTTACTTCTAGTCTTTACATCTTTCAAGTCTTAATTTAAATATCTCTTCTGAGTATCTGTTAACTCCCCAAATACCTTGTCTGTAAGAGCATTTAACCTTGTATTGTGGCCACCTACTTTGCTAGTTTGTATCCTTCAATATAATCTAATTTACTTGACAGCAGAAATACCATTTTATACCCAGTATCATGCCTAGCTCTTAATTGGCCAAGTAATTATTTGAAAAATGAACAGAAAGAGTTTGAAAGTACAAAGGAGAGGCTGAGGAATCAAGAAAGGCTTCCAGAAGCAGGGTGATAAATTGTGAGAAAAACATATATAGGGAACAGGAGGGATCTTTCAACTCCACCCTTGGGTTAAGGTGATCAGTTAAGGTCTCATAGAATAGCAAAAGAGGTACTTCAGCTGGGGGAGAAGGGTTAGCAGTTCTCCAAGCCAATAAAGTAGAGAAGACAATTTAGGCAGATGGAACAGTGTGCAAAATCACAGAGCTTTGTCGCAACATGGTAATGTTCTGGGGAAGTGTAGAATTAAAGCTAGGAGGGGGTAAAGGGTAAAAGCTGTGTGGTTAGAACAGTGGACAGGAGGAGTAGATTTTGTATAAGTCAGAATTTTTTTAGTTGAAAATGATAGAAACAACTCAGAAACTGGCTTAACCATTGGAAATATATAAGCTCTTCTAACTAAAAAATCTAGGGCTTGAAATTGCTTCAGGCACCACTGGGCCCAGGCACTCAAAAGTTATTGTCAACAGTATATCTTTCTTTTCCTCTCTCAGCTCTGCTTTCCTCTGTGTTGGCTTTTTCTCAAATAGGCTCTACCCATAGAGACTAGTCATTCAAAATGTATATCCCTCTGACTCAGACCACCTTCCTCCTGGTAGTTCCTCCTAGCTTGATTGCCTCATAACTTGCTTAGGTAATTAGGCCAGTTATGATCACCTTCACCTAGGTCACATCACTAGAACCCTACCCAGATTTCTTACACTGAAATGGTAGAGGTTTATTTTTTTTCCTCCTCCTGTTAAAAAAAAGGGCAAGAAAATGGGTGTTGGGCTTGATTTTATCCTTGGATGGTGGGAGTCGTTAAAAGATTTTTTTTAAGTGGATGACTAGATCACATTTGCACTTTAGGAATGTTATTCTGGCAGTGTGGCGGTTAGACTGGAAGTGTTAGAAATAGAGTGCAGAAGAATGTGTTTAGAAGGTTATATTGGGTTAAAAATGAAAAGCAGTAAAATGGAAAGGAGAACGTAGGTTTTTGTGGGGGGTTTTTTGTTTGTTTTTTTAAGTAAAATCAGAAATGAGGAAGCAGGTGGAAACTAGAAAGGTGCCTTGGGAAACTGAGAGGATAGTATTGCGGTAATGAGTATAGCGGATTATGTTGTTCTTTTTTATTTGTTTTCATTCATGCAGTTTAGTTAAATTAAGTCTGTCCTTTCATGGAGCTTACATTCTAATGGGAGAAAACATACAAGAAATGTCTAATGTGTCAGGTAATGATGAGTTCTAGAGGAAAAACGGAGCAGAGAATAATGAGTATGTTATTTTGGATAGAAAAAAAACAAGGCTTCACTGATGAGATCAGAGCGACGTGAGGGAGATGAGACTCCGAGAGCCAAGGTCCCGAGATAGGAGCTTTTTGGCATTTTGAGGAGCACATGGAAGCTAATGAGACTGAATAAATTGGGAGAGGGAAAGAAGAGAGAAAGGGCATAGCTGCGGAGGGGGCAGATCACGGTGGGTCATTTAGGCCGTAGTAAGACTTGAAGTTTATTCTAAGTAAATTCGGAAGCCACTGGAGAGTTCTGAGCAGTGGGAGGAGAATAGAAGTGTACGAGGGGGGAAAGCAGGGGAATAAGTTAAAAGCTTTGGTAACAATCCAGTCAAGACAAGGTGGTAGCTTGCAGAAGGGTAGTAATGGCAGAGATGATGGAATACATCTGGGTTACAGGTACATATTTTAAAACTGAAACCAGTGGGGTTTGCTCATGGGCTGGATGTGTCATGTTAACAAACTTGCAGTGAAGGACTCTGCCAAGGTTTCTAGCCTGAGGAACTGGAAGAATAGAGCTGCCATTGTGACAAGGAGAACAGGTTGAGGTGGAGAGGGGCATGAGTTGGTTTTGGGCCCTATTAAGATTGAAAGACCTGATTAAATATTGAGATGGAAATGTCACATGGTAGAGGTATAGGAATATTGAAAGAGAAGCGGTTTGGTTTGGGATGTCACGTGTTTAAGCTGAGAAAGTAGATGATTTAGGTTGGAGACTGAGGATTTTTTACAGTGGGTATGGAGAAGGGTCAGAAAGTACTGATAAAATATTTTATTACATCCATAGTGCAGTTAGTTACAATATACACCTTTTTTTAAACCAGTAAAAAACAAGAAAACCTGCCAATAAAATTATGATAGGGCCCTCGCCAGGTAGCTCTGTTGGTTGGAGCATCATCCAATAAGCCAAGATTGTGGGTTTGATCCCAGGTCTGGGAACATACAAGAGTCAACCAATGAATGCATAGAATCAGTGGAACAACAAATCGTTCTCTCTGTCTCTCAAAATCAATGAGTAAAAAATGTTAAAAATTATGATAGGCATGCCAATTACTGAATTGTCAAAATCTGGGGGGGAAAGTGTTAGATTCATAAAATACATAGTTGATGTATAATTTAGAAGGTTAATGGAAAAGGGTAGGGAGAAGTCTTTGAGGTTAGAGAGAGAAATAATGGGGAACTAAGGGAGTTGAAGAGTAAGAATTTGTAGTCAAAAAAGGGATTTTGGAGTTTGAAGATTTTAGAGATGCAGCTGCCCCAAGCTCAACTAATACCCACCAGAAGTTGTACAGCCCCACAATATTACTGTTGGTGGAGGGAAGTAGACAGGATGTAAGAAGGCCGGAGTAGAATTTCTTGAGATGTATTGTGCCCCATCCCCTCCATTTTATTTTACTGATAATGAAAACGAGGCCATGACTTGCATAAGATCAAAGAACTAAACTGTTTCTTGGTAGAACCAGGATTAGGCCATGGTTAAAGCTTTGTGACTGGAAGGCAGGGAATTTTTAATTGAAGAATTGAACCTTTGGTTCAAACATTCCTATCTAAGACACTGTAAACTGTTGTAGTTTAATTTGAAAACACTTTTTTTTTTACAGCCTCAAAGAATTGCTGAGAGCTAAATTAATTGAATGTGGCTGGAAGGATCAATTGAAGGCACACTGTAAAGGTAATCAGCTTCATTTAGAAGATAAGCTAAACTGTGCTTATCTTCTGTTGCTCTCAACTGTGTTGATTTGGGGTTCGCTAGAAAAATTAGTATTTTAAAGGTATATTAAGTGCTCAGACATACTTTTAAACAAATGGAAAATTGACTCTTATAGTAATGATTTCCTCCTCTCTGTGATACTATTTAGGCCTAATTCCTAAATTTTTAGAAATTTTTTTGTATTTCTCTTAAAACAAGTGAGGCAAGATTTTCTCTGGCTTCAAAATGTGGAATCTCACCTTTTTCAGTGTGCCTTTTCAAAGTGAAGCATTACTTATTCCTAATAGGTTTTAATTTAACAAATTGAGCGCTTTATGGTTGTTGGACATATAGGAAATGTATCTCTTGTCTTTAATAATGTTATTTTGAAAAATTCATTTTAAAAGCTCTTAGAGAATTATACTTATTTTTTTAAATGTAAAATAGGAGCTTGTTAAATTGCTTAATATTGATGATGATACCATAAGATTACACATGTCACTAAGACGAGACTCCTTTCTGGCTCAGCTTTTAGTATAATAGCATTTTGGTTATTTTTAATGATTTTCCATTCTATTATAGTGGTTTCTACCAGTAGTAATGATAATGGCTACTGTGTATAACATTAACCCTGAGAAGGCAGTGTAGAAAATTAGTAAAAGCGTAGACTTGGAGATCATATAGATCTTCACTGGCAAAAGACTGGAGCTGTATTTCAACTCATGTTTGGACGAGTTATTTAATCTTTACGCCTCAGTTGCCTCACCTGTGAAGTGGGAAGAATGCCCAGCCTGTTACATTATTGTCAGTATTAAATGATGTAAAGCATCCAGCACATAATAGGAGTTCAGTAAACATTAACTACTTTCCCCCTTGGTTTTTTTTTGGGCCCAATCTAGAGAAGAGAAAGGAGCAAAGGAGTTCGATATTTTCATTTTGGGCTTTGAAATTTTAAGTTGGGCGTAATTAATAGCCTTTTCCCCTCTACACATTTAAGAGCTAGTAATGATTACACTGAAATAAGATCTGTGCATTTATAAGTTCCTAGCTTTTTACAAATGTTCACTTTGACCTACATACAGTTCAGATTCATTCTGTGTTATAATTGTTAAGTTACAGGTTCTTTAGCTGAGCGATGAATAGGCTTTTACAATTTTACCTGGTGAATACTTAATGTGTTTGAAAGTTAATTAGATATTCATTAAAGAAGTGTCCTCTTTTTTTTATTAAAGACCAATCTGCACTCTAAAAACATGATCTTAACCCTTCCTCTATGAAAATCTTTCTTACAGATAATGATTTTAAATGATATGATTTGTTTTTTGCTTTTGCATAAGAGGTAATTAAAGAAAAAGGACTAGAGCACGTCACCGTTGATGACTTGGTGGCTGAAATCACACCCAAAGGCAGAGGTAAGGGGAGGCGCGTCTCATGCTGGCGGAGCTCTTCTTTCTACAAGGAGAAGCAGCCCTCCAGAATTATTTGGGTATTTGGTGCTTCTATTGGGAACAGTTACAGTTCCCGACCTGCCTCCTGAGCTGGGCTTTGAGTAACAGACGAGACGAGGGATGTAAAGTGCTTCTGCGCCCTGAAACAGGGTGCAGATAGGTTCATGGGATCGTTAAGAGAGATACTTTTTAAATATGGGATCTTGTAGAGGCAAATGTTACGTGAGGCTAAGATTTATAAACTTTATTAGATATGGTCTGACTTGACTTAAATATTTTAATAATTCAGTTTTACTCCTGTCCCTGAGTCATTCCTCTGCTCTCTTTGCTTATTAAAAATAAACAAAGCTCTGTCTTCTTGAATGTCTAATTAAGAATTTGGTAGCGCCACTACTTCAGGTTCAGGGTAATTCATATTTAAGATTGACACTACAGCTACCTTCATTTCTCCCTTTAATGCCTTGTTTTAAGACGGCAAAGGAAAGAAAGAAAATATATTAACATCAATGCTATGTAATATTGTCAGAAACTACACTGTATTTTATCTTAGGGGGAACTATCTTTTTTTTTTCATTTATTTTGAGAAAGTTTGTTTAAGTGGATATAGGTAAATTAGATGACCTATTGTTTTCTCACACAAAAATAGTAAAAACAACTTAAGTGTAAAAAGTAAATAAGATTGAAAATTATTATTGGAGACTATTAGTTCCCTGAACTGCTTACCTGCTGGGAAGGAGCTAGGGAATCCCATGATCCTTTCCACTATATCTTTTGACCTATTTACAGCTACAAAAACCTGACCTTTTCTTTACACATATCTCAGGGAAAGAAAAATAAAACCAATAGTATTTATTGTTCCCCCCATGAATTTATATTTTAAAGTAATTTTCCCTAATTTTGTTTTAGATTTTCCTTCAGTAATTTATGCTTAATCTGTTAACATTGTTTAGGAACTGGTTATACAGGGTAGAAATTATCCTTTGCTCCTCCTTCAACACTGGTTATCTTGGACATATCAGTTCCTTGTAACTCCCCTGCCAGAGAAGCAGTAAACAAAGAAAAGGGAAGTGAAAATAAATCTGTTCTTTCATGCTCTTCATCTTCTTTATTGTTAGGAGTAGAAGCATTTTATTTTTAAAAATATACAGTAAAATTGACATTTTTTACTGTGCAGTTCTGTGAATTTTATACACGTGTGATTTCATATAACCCCCGCTCCCATAAAACTTCAAGCTATCCCTCTGTATTCACATTCACACCCTGTCCCCGACCCCAAGGCAACTGATCTATTCTCCATCACCATAATTTTGACTAAAAGTATGTTTAATATACATATTGATCACATTTCCAGTGGACTTGAATTAATTATGTAGTCTTTATTTCTAGGCAGGATAAGATGAGACAATTTATAGAGAGGAGTATCTGTCTTATTTGATTTGTGTACTTATTTCTAGAATTCTTTATGGAATTATTGAACTATGTCTGAAGCCTTCCATTTTCTCTGGATACAAGCAAGTAACATTAGAAGTATTAGTTAATTCTCTATTGCCCTTATTTACTAGTAGCCAGAAAAGGAACAACAATAATGTAGGTTTGTTTATTGACATTTAATATTAAAATTTCAAAGAGCAGGGTTTTGTTTTTTTTCATTTTCAGTTTAATACTCCAAACAGATAATATAGTCACATGGTTCAAATTCAAAAAGTTGAAAATGCAGGAAATATAACCACTGTTGTGATTTTTGCATCTTTGCTGAGTCAGAGTATGTGCATTTATTTCTATAAAGTATTGCCAAATTACCTTCCCAAAAATGTTGTGCAGATTTATACTCCCACCAGCTAATAGGAGAGTGCTAGTTTTTCCCTCAGTCTTGCCAACACAGTATATTACTGACCTTTGGTTTTAGCCAATCTGATTGGTAAAACATGTTATCTGAATGTGGTTTAATTTTCATTCCTCTTGTAAGGCTTATCCCCTCTTGTGTTCAAGAGCTGCGTGTGTCCTGTTCTCCATCTCCTGTGCGCATTTCCTGTTCGCTTGCTCATCTTTTCCTATCAAACGGAAGAAATTGTAGAGATCAGCCCATTTCTGCCAAAGCGCTTTCCCAGTTTTTGTCTTTTGCCTTTGTTTACAGTGATTTTTCAGATGTTTACCTTTTTTTAATTAAAGCTCATGAGGGTTATTTATAAATAAATTATAAATAAATGTATGGGTCGGTCATCCTGAATAAAACATCAGATATCAAGTTGACATATTAATTGGAATCTTCTTACTCTTATGTTTTTATTTTTACATTTCAGCCCTGGTACCTGACAGTGTAAAGAAGGAGCTTCTACAAAGAATAAGAACATTCCTTGCTCAGCATGCCAGCCTTTAAGATTGAATTAGATTGTGTTGTTTTGTGGTCTTATTTCTGAAAGTAAAACTTGCCATAAATTAGGAATCGCTTTCCCAAAATAAAATCCTTTTTTGTATGATGGTATACAGTTTTCGGTAATGATGTATACATTGTATTGATTTTTTTCCCTAAATGTGTTATTTTAATAAATATCTCATGAATGAGTTTGAAGTTTCCTTGGATCTTGGAGTAAATGGGACTTTTCAACAATCCAACAGATTGTTGAGAGAAAAAGTCAGCAAGTAATATAAAGTATGTGCATATTTCTATGCTAACAGCTGAGGAGAAGTAAGCAGCCTCTTCTGATTGTCTCAATTTGGTGTATTTCTCTTTTGAATCCCTATAGTATTTTGTAATACATGGCCCATCCTGTACTACAGTTGTCTTATTTGTCACAAACTCAGAGTTAGGACTGGGTCCTACGCATCTTGATGTGCCTGCCTCATTCCTCAAAGAATTTACCATCCTTTTGGAAGAGAGAACATTTGCAAGCTGGCTCCATACCAAGCTCCTCTCACATATCTGCTCATCTGAACTCTGAAAGCAGAAACACTAGATTACATCCCCTCATGTAAGGTCAAGAAAGAACTTAATGGGAAATAATCCACCCATAGCTTTACTCTGACATCAAGATTGCCAAATCCAATGGACTGTTGTCTGTCCTTACATGACCTCTGCTGGAAACTGAGAATGTTGAGCGTCCTGCCACTGGAACTCTCCTCCCACTCCTCACACTGTTTATTCCTACCACTGGAAGTTCCTTCTGTTTCTCGTGGAGTACCTTTTGCTGTATGGGACTTGAAACAATGGTGTTTCTTAGGGCTTGCTCCTGGGCCCTCTGCCTGACGAATGATATGCTTTTCCTGGGAAAAGCCCAGGAAATGTGTTGGACCATGACTTCAAATACTAACAGGTTAATAAATGGTAAATTGCATCACCAAACCAGACTTCAACCCAGCCTCCATACCCGTATACCCATCTGCTATGGATCAGCTTCCTTGGATGTTCCATGAACACCTCAAACTGACCACACCTAAGATAGTGACTTTTTCCCCCTCTAGTAACTACCCCTACTGTATTCCTTATCAACGTGAGTAGTACCTCCCAGACATACATATTACCTGAGGAGCCTGTTGAAATACTGATTCAGAAGGTAAGAGTTGTTGCACAAGTCCATGCTTACGGCTGCTGACAAACCCAGTCAATGCTTATGCTGCTGATCAAGGACCACTGAGTCTGGCAAGGTTCTCAGTTGTCTACTCCTTGCCCTTTAACTGCCTTAGTTCAGGCCCAGATTAGTGCAGTAGGCCCCTACATTCTCGTTGCTTCATGCATCCTCCAGTATCTCTTCCATACACTTGCCTAAGTGACCTTACTAAGATTCAAGCTTGGTCAGATATTTCCCTTTTTGAAACTTCTCAGTGGCTCTTCCTGGTTTGCAGGGTAAAATTCACACTCAGCCATAGCACCTACGCCTTGATCTGACATTTCTCTAGTTAGAGTTCCCAAAAGTAATTGTTTATCCCTGAATATCTGAAAGTCATCATGCTAGATACTTTTACTTATCTCTTGGCCTTCAAAATTCTGCCTGAGCTGTTAAAGCATTCCGGCATTTCTGTTTGATTTAGATTTTCCCCTACTATTTTTCTATCAGAAGTACCTGTGCATAATTTCTCAACACAATAATTCTAGAACTTTTGCATGCATCCCCCGTAGGGGAGGGAACTTTTTTTTTCCCCTCTGTATGATACTTATTTGTGAATGAGTGGACAGAATAAATGAATGAACCAGTGAATGATCATAGAAGCACAAAACGAGGTGAAAATACAGTTGGGTGTGTTTGAGGAAAGGCTTTACAGTAATTTTTGGTTCACATTCCAGAGATTCAATTTTACTTTCTGATGAATTTATATTTTAAGTGTAGTCTTGGAACCTACTGGGCTTAATTATGTAAAATGTTGAACCTAGGACACGTGCATGCACAATCACAAAACCTACCCCAGAGTTTTTTTGTTTCATTTCATCTCTTACAAAACAATGGTCTAAAGTTAAATGATAGTTACATTCATCATTCTGCTACCCATTATAAAAAAGGAAATGGTACAGAGGAAATGTTAAAAACAATGGGTACTTATTTCATAGTATTGTATATAAAAGCAAACCAAAAATTGCTCATAGAGATACTATTTTAATAGTTCAAAACAAAATAGAAAAGGAAATGAAAGTATTTTGAGATGGAACAAAAAATAATTGAATTTAAAATATAGCCATTGAAAACACTAAAGCACATAGCTTTAAAATGATAATGCGGAGAACTCCCCCACCATCTCTAGATTTTCTTAACATCTTCGAAATGCCTTGTAGTTTGCATCTAGAACCATTGGTAACTTTCAAATAAACCAACTTTGTGAACATCTTGACTCACATCATTGATTCATGTTAACCAGGAATATATTCTTTAAAACTTGCGCTTTCATTCTCAGTGTTGGAAATTCAGTAGGAGATTACTGTTACATGACTGCGTTGGGTGAGTAAAATACTAACGGGTTACTATAAGCTGCTTTTATATAGGATTAAAGAAGACCCAACTAAATTATTTAGGTAATCACTTTGCTTTGGCATTACATGTGTATCATTTGGTTGAGCAGTGCCAAGCTAGGGCCTGGGCGATGCTGGGGACTGGTAATTGGATATGGGACTTTTCATAACTTGATAAAAGTCTCCATCCAACTCAAGAGAATTGTGACAGCTGTTCAGTAGCTGATGTTGGAAGTGATCCAATGTGTGTGTTTGTGTTTTAACCCTTCTTGTAAATTGCTATCTCATGTTACTCAGTGACTTCATAAAATCCCACATATTTACCATTGGAAACCACACAAAGTCATTGGACGATTCCACCAAGAAGACTAACAGGCGCAATCAAACAATTCGAGTTCTAGTCTCACCTATGACATTGAATTACCAGGTAAGACTGCTTCTTCTGCTTCACTTTCCACATCCACATTATAGATCTGCTAATGCTGACCTGGTAAGAATTAAAATAAAAACTATAAACGCTATTTATAGGATAATCATAAATGTAATACTGATATTCATAAAAAGCAATATAGATTCATTTTACTCCTAGGAAGAACTCTAAAAATACATATTTACTATGTGTTTTCTAGATTTATGTAGATGTATAAATTACATATATGTGGAAAATACTTTTATTTTTCAGGAATTTGTAGATAATATTAGTTACCATGAGAATTACTACAAAAAATAAAGATGACCAACATTACTTGATTGGAACAGAATAAATACCGCTAGAATAGCACTTAGCAGGGAGAATTGAAACTAGTCATTTTCACTCACATTCTGCTATAAACAGTCCGTGTCAGAGGAGTTTATCTTTCGATCCTATTTATCTTTGTGATACATTTGTCTTTGATCCTAAGTGCATAACAGTTCATTCTTGATTAATTCTTTTAAATGAATGAATGAATGAATGAATGAAACCAGGGCAAGAAATTTAGCCTGTGTCTGTCTATTCCAGACTTCAAATTATACATGCTTGGTTATCCTGCTTGTCAGCCGCCAGGGGGCACTTGAAGCCTATATTTCCGATCCTCTCTGGGCTCTCAGTTAATGAAATGTGTCATCTCAGGACCAGTTCCTGCTCAGGCCAGGCAGCATATTCAAGATGAAAGTGTTATTGAATTAAAACTTAATTGTGAGGACCTCAGAACGTGCTGCTCTTATAAATTAAGATGAAGTTACAGTGAGATGCAGATGATGTTTTATTGGGATCATTTTCCGAAGCCAACTCACTAATGCAGGAAGTACGTTGATTTAAATAGCGAACACCATGACTGAAATATTTCTGTTTTGGTTACTTTATCGAAAAGAGAAACAGAGTAAATTCTTTTTAATTTTTGTTCAAAATATTACAGATGTCCCTTTTTCTTCCCATTGACCCCTTCCACCCCACCCCACCCC